GAAATCTGTCAGGATGCATGGCATTTTTTCGTGGAATAAAGATTCTTACAGCTTACACGATTTGTTAACACTTTTACTTTTTTAACTAAATACTTTAAACATAAATATTATCTAAGATACCTAGACTTACATTCACATTCACACTGGGTCCTATGATTGAACGTTTATGTTATCCATAACGTACATGTTAGGTCGAATTTTAACAGCAAAGAGACAAATTCGTATGCTGTAAAGTCTTTCATAATACATTACTGTTATTTTCCGCCTGTTATGTTCTAATTTAACAGGTTTCCATCAAACGAACTTGCCTCGTTACTTTTAAAATTCGGCCTAACATGTACGTTACGGATAACGTAAACGTTCAATCATAGGACCCATTATCTAAACAACACAAACACAAGTTTTGTGGTATGTTGTTTTGTGTTTTGTTTGCATCATAAGCCAGTCAGGGAAAGGGGTAGGTATAGGGTACAACACACAGTGGCGTACTGTTCGTGGAAGGTTCAGTTATTAAACATTATTATTTAATGTTCAAATCTTGATAACCTAGGAATACATGTTCAATATGTCTTTAAAGAAACAGTTTTTAATATACACAGGGTATTCAAAAAGCCATGCTGTATATTCAAATTATACAAAAAAAGGCGTAATATAACTTGAGTGTCTGGGGGCCGATTCCACCGTTGTGCAAAACGGAATTTAAATTACTAAGAAGTTTAAAATTACATTTTTACATTATCAATGTCATTTTAAAGAGGAATCGGCTCTTAAGGTTTCCAAACTTAAAAGTTATGGACCAGAATGTAGGTGGGTGGGATTTTCCTCACCTGTAAGTCAAATGACACCATCATTTATCTACAAGCCACAGAGCGCCACGAATTATAATGCCCTGAATATTGTTTTGTTAGGATTATGTTATGGACAAATTTAATGTTAACACGGAGTTTATTCTATCCGATATCTTTCAATTATACTTGCGTGACGCATGGTTAAATGAACTGCCTAATTTTGTGTCTGTTAAAATACTTTATTTCAGATTACCAAAAAAAAATGAACCGAAACAAGACCCAAAACCTGAACAAAAAAAGACGAAGAAGAAAAATAAAAATAAACTAAACATAACTAAATCTGTTGAAGTAAAGAAAGAAACAAACGAAGATGTCATATCCAAATCTACAGAAAAGAATATCAATTATAATGTAAAAAGTATCATAGGTGATGACACTGTAATAGAAAAACCTAATGATACCACTATAACCAATGTTAAAGAAGAGATTAAACATACCAAAACTGTTACTATTAAAACCGAAACGCCTACAAACCTTCCTCTTAAAGATCTAAAGATTTACGACAACAAAAATGAAGAAAAACCAACTGAAAAATCTACCGAAAAAGAAAACAAACCATCAAACAATTTAGACAAAATAAGAATAAAGTTGTGTCATTTATGTAACACTCATCATATACAGGATCATTGTCCGATAAATTTCCCTCACTATGTTATACATGATGCATTGAACTTTGATCACTGGGAGCAAAAGTATAAGCTCCTTCACGAAATGCATTTAAACAAAGACAAAGCTGATAAAAACGAAGTTAATGATATAGATCTCAATGAATACAGATTTTCAGCCATGTCTTTACCAAATTCGCTGTGTCTTAAAGATACAAACACTCCTCACGGCCTTGGGGTATTTGCTAAAACCGATATAGAACCATTTACCCAACTGGGACCTCTCGTGGGAAAGATAGTTAAAGAAATGGAAATCCCTGAAGATGTCAACATGAAGCATATTTGGGAAATCCACGACGAGTCTGAAAATATTTATTTCGACACTGAAAGCGATTCGGATTCCAATTGGTTGAAATATCTCCGACCCGCGCCTACCAGGGACACAAAAAATTTGACTGTGATACCTAAAGATTCTAAATTATTGTTTGTCTCTGTTAAATTTATCAAAAGCAGTGAGGAGTTGTTATATTGGCAGGATTCTCAGAATCTCAGCAATAAGAAAAAAATGGAGAAAACAAGTAAGTTTTTTTTGAATGAATATTGAATATCCTACTGACTGCGCCACTTTTATAATTTTGTTTTTAAATGTATTTGTTATAAAATCGTTTGAACTTGTTTTTAGCATGTGGAGGTTGTAACATAGATTTCAGCCATCCACACTACTATAGAATACACTGTTCGCTGTTCCACGACATACGTTTTAGTTTAACTATTAAAAAATACCACTGTAAAGTGTGTGGAGTGCCTGTTTTGGGCAAAGAGAATATTATGAAACATGCAGCTGAGTTACATAATGGCCAGGGCGCTTACCAATGCCAATTTTGTAAAAAAGTAAGTTGAAAATTCATGCTTACTCATCTCCTGTGTTATAACATACATGGTGTTCCCAAATTAGAGGTGAATATTTTAACAGCGTATTAATCAGATAACAATAAGGTAGATAGTTTCTAGAAATGTATATTCAAAAATACCTTCTAAGGGAGCAACGTTTCTTTGAAGAGAACTCCCTGAAGATGTTTTTCTGACGATATTTTCGAAACTGGTACTGATAAATACCTTAAATTTTGGATTTCGCTTAAAATTGATATTTAGATAACTAGTTTAAAAAATGTATCCTTTTAACTGGGATGCCACAACTAGGGGAGAGTGGTGTAAAAAAGTACTAACATTTTTTTTATCCTCTACATTTTTATCATTTTTGAGACCATACTTATAAAATTCAACTTTTTTAATGACAAAAAGGTACTACTTATTGGTTTCCTTGGTTAAGATTGATAGTTTGCCAGGAATATTGCTTCAAAGAACGCCATGCACAAAAAACTACTGTCTTATTTTCACTTGTTTAATATGCTGTCTAATTTTGGAACGCCCTGTACAATATCCTTAGAATTCTACTACAACAATCGTTTTCTGTTTTTCTTTATAGTTTTTCTTAAGACTGAATTATTTAGAAATGCATCGAACTTACGGATGTTCAGCCAACCCGCACCGATCGAGGCCACTTTGTGATTTTTGCGGTCGTAAATTTTGCCAACCTCAAAAACTGAAAGTCCATATCAAACGAATGCATAGCGGTAAGTCATCGTACCTCAACCAATAGCTTTTATATTTATACGTATTTTTTTTAGATTTGTCTGAAGTACTCAAAGAGTTTCAATGCAAGAGCTGTTTGAAGATTTTGGGCTCCAGGGCGGCGTTGCAGAGGCACTTAAAGGAAGTGCATAAGAAACAAACTGAGGGAAACTGTTCGTGTTCCAGATGCGGAAAAACTTTTCAAAATAAATCGAACTTGAAGATCCACATGCTGACTCACAGTGGAATCAAACCTTTTAAGTGAGAATTTTGATATTTTATTGCTTATAATCTGGGATATGTTATATAACTCTTGATTAACAAGAAAACGCAATGTGGGGGTTTCTTTTAAAATTTCAAAATTAACCCGTAATTTTCAAGTTCAAGTTATTATAACACTGAATAAATATTTATATTAATGGAAATTTAATCATCTACAACTTAAAATGTGAAGAGGAAAGAAAAGACCTCAATAATTCATATTGAAAATCACTCAAATATCACTGAGGCCTTCTTCACATCGAATATCAACAGGTATTGAAGCGAAAAAACTCCCTTTACAGGTTCAACTTAAAGAAATTTACCATAATACGTGGCTGAACTGCCCAGTCAACAATTCTCCAACTTATTTCAATTAATTTAGTGTACAATTCCTATTTGATTGGTAACTTTGACAAATCACATTGATAGATACCATCGACAATGACTATTGACAAGGTCAACACTCCGAAAGTCCGAATCCACGTTCGAAAACTAAGGCAGTACTCGACAAATACAGAAATAGGTTCCGTGAGGACTGCAATACAAAATACACCTAACTGTATGCCGTATTGCATAACGACGATTCGCATCGTTACAGCACATTTCAGTTTCTTTAATGACAGTCTATTAAACATGTAATTGTCCTTTTTTCACATAGATTATGAATGGTTTTAGTCGCAGTATAGATTTTTTAACTTTGTTTACTTCCACTATATAGGTAGATTGTAAATTTTTCTTTTTTTTACGATAACTACGAACGTCTCTAGATTAAATCCAAATTGTCATTTAAAAAGAATTATTGTACGCTTTCATGGCCTACTTTAGGAATATTTTTTGTGGGTCATTCCATACTATTTCACATTTTATTTAATTTAACTTTCAATATTAATACACAAATCAGACTTTGTATATTTTAGTGTTATTGTTTAGCAAATCATATTGGAAAATCAGGTTGTTATAAGTACTGCAAACGTTATTATAAACCGTTCATAAACTTTACCAACACGTCACATTTTAATCAGTGATTGTAGACTTAAAGATAAAAAGTCCTATTCTATTTGATATCGAATAAAAATTGTTTTTAAAAAATAACTTTTATTATCTAGAAAAGAAACATAAAGATGGTGACTTGTACATGGTTCGTGCAAAGATGCCACCTTTTTCATTTAAAATACATTATCCTATGCTACTGTACTGAATTCCAACTGTAGGTAGGGTCTTTTAGTGTTTTTGTCGCCTAACTACTCCGAACACATCACTTAAGAAAATGTTGTCTCCTCTTTCATGTCCTCTTACAATTCCTTCATAAAGTGAGTTCGGGTTACGCACTCTATTCACTCTTAAAGTTCGGGAACGGAAGGAGTTAAAATAAAAGTTCCTTTTAGACCGTTTGGAGTGGAGTGTGGATCGGGCATGCGCATAAGGTGATTTAAATAGATAATAAGATAATTGTGACTAATTCTTAAGTAAAAATGCTTTTTATTTGGTTCCCGTGCATACTATTAATATGGAAGAAACTTATACGGTTGTTACTGATAAGTACGATTAGGTTTTAAGTATTAGTATGTCATATTGACAACTGACATTGAACTCTGAGAGTGAAGGGAGTAAAACAATATGCGCACTCCTCCGTTTACGCCTACTTACTCCACTCCACTCTGGAGTGCGATGCCCGAATTCACCTATAGACTGAACTATTATTTTCTTGAATCTATATAATTTTAGGTGTGCAACTACCACTTGCAACGCTGCTTTTACAACTAAACAATGTCTACAATTCCATTACAAGAAAATTCACAATCTCACTGAAGACAGTATGCCGAAAATAGAACGAAGCGTTGACTACACTTTCCAAGCCTATAGTGGAGACAAAAATAACTTAAATCCCGATTCTATAAATTTCAATAAGGACATTTCAGATATTAATGACGATAAAGATGTCAGTTCTGATGAAGCAAGTAAGTGTATTGAATAAATTACCGTCGAAGATCGCAATTCTACATTTTTAATATTTTCTTAGGTGATGGTGACGATAGCGAAATCATGGACGATCCGATATCGCTTACTAGTAACAACCAATCTTGTAAAGAACACCAGGACTTCCATCCACAGTCTCCTCAATCCGACAAGACACCGCCTCACTCAGAAGATTACACCAAAACCTCACTCTCCGGATCAAACCTAAAAGTCTTAAGTAAAGGATCCAAAAAATGGATAGGCGATGAACCACCGACGTCTTCCAAACTACCTGATATCTATTCAGTTGAACGACTCAGCAAAGATGATCTCTCTGGAATATCGTTACAAGAAAATGATATTTACGACAGGCACAAACTATCGAGTACAAACGATTTTAACAGACACGAAGCCTCTAATGCGAGCTTACTAGTCGAGGCGGCTTTAGATTCGGTTTGCAATGAAACAAACATCGATATTGATGTTAGTACAACTCCCAATTGCGCAGATTCTTTAGTCAACAATCTTTATAATCTCACACAATCGGATAACCTTCCCGACGTCGCTTATAACGAAGTAAACGATTCGCGAGACATCAGTTTGATATCGCCTTCGGTGAACGATCACGTTTCAGTAACCGATGAGTTAAACGATGAATTACGGCACGATAATAACATCGGTATGCATTATTCCAACTTCCATCATAACGATTTCAGTCCTCCGCACAGTCCCGACATACACAGATCTAACTTCGTGCGAAATTACATCAACAGTTTGTCCCCTCAAAATGCCTCATACGATCCCAAAAATTCGTCTCCGGTGCCCAGTCCTTCCAGATACGATATATTCGGGCATCACGTTAATGTCAATCCCGATCAGTTGTCATCGGATGACAGTAATGGGATGACAGTTCAGAATTTGAGTTTACACAGTGCGAAGAACGATATACAGCTGGATCTTTCGTTATACAAAACGTACAAGTCTGGCGGGCATGATTATGTAAGGAAGCTCAAATTCGGCGATGATAATACTTTAGAGCAGGATCACATCGATGTAATCAACAACGTTCAAAGTATGGATAACGATAATAAGGACCTCGTAGATAGAGACGATCATCCGAAGTACTCTGACGAGTTATCGGCTGATATTCGCAACAAGTTCGATATCGATTTGGATTTAAGACTGAAAGCTTATGACAGTATTGATAGCGAGAGTCTTAGGCAGAGGAATCACACTTACGAAAGTACCGAATTGGATTTCAGGAACAAAGCATACGATTTAATCGATGCTGTCGAAAACAGAAACAAGCAGTACGATCTTATAGATACAGATTTCAGACCCGATCGAAATTTCGAACCTTTGATACTGAATTCTTTGGAACTGCAAGGCTTAGACATGTCGGCTAGGAGCTTCCATAATTACCCCAACATGAACCGGTATCGGCCTTTGTATCCGGACGTCGATAGGGTGGATTTGAGGCTGAATTATAGCCCTCCGCCTCCTACCTACACTCACGCTGATTTACTAAGGGTCGTTTCTTTAGATCTGACACCGCCTGGTAGGCATAGCGTTGATCTGAGTTTGAGGAACCATCCGTTACATCAAATCGCCAACTCTCGCTTACTAACCGATCACGGGTTGCAAACTACTCCGCACCGGCTTCTGGATCAAAGTAGGATATTGAACGGTGAAATAATTTCGGCGCGCCATTTAAGTACGGATCGGATAATATCGGAGACTAGTAACAGAATTTTGACGGATCATAGTACGTCGAGAATTCTGAATAACGAGCAACTGGGTGGTAATCATCTGCTGGCTTCGGATCAGAGCAGATTGCTTTCGGACGATTCTCGCGTGTTATCGGATCAAACCAGGTTGTTGGATCAAAGTAGACTGTTGGGCGACGGGAGGATTTTACCGCCTACTACTCCTAGCGGGGCGGTGTCTCCGGTGCAGGGATTCGGGGGTTATTCGGTACCGCAAAATCCGTATCATCCGGCGAGTTTGACGACCAGGCCGCACGTGACGTCTCCAACCAGCGCTGCATATCATTATCCCACGTATTATTAATATCATCAGTATTTTCAGCTGATCAAACCGTTTGTGTAGTTTTATTTTTGATCAAATGTGATGGTGTTTCGATAAATTGATGGTCTTTTTTTGAAACACGATGGATTTAATCAGTGTTGGATTGGGACCTTTATCAATTCTTTTAAAACGTCTTTACACACTGATGCTTTTTCCGAGGTTATCACGTATTACGGGGTTTCTTCTCAAAGAACGGTAGACCTTCGACCCAAACTGACGCTGGATTTAATGTAATAAGTTCATGACTAAAAACGGATCAATGCAGAATCCTTCAAGGGACACATCCAGTTTGTCATGACAATCATTTTTGTGGTTTTACTAGGGTTGATTCGTATGCCCCACCCTAACACCATTCTCATTTTTTGTTGGAGTAGGTTTGGTACGATATTTTTGTTAATTGATTGGTTTAAAATATAAGTAAAGGCGGAGCATAGAAAAGATAGGAGTGAAACTCACCGTTTTTGTAGATCTCTGCACAGCCACGTCTTTCGGTGGAAATCTATAAAACCAGTGGCGATTGGTTGACTTCTGGAACTATAAAGTCCTTACCTTAGGTATTTGTCGTCTTTCTAAGTCAAAATGGCCAGGTTTTTGTACCTGCCTAGAACGTCTAGCTTCTGGCTTCCATAAATTAAATACAACATTCTTCCAATGATGATTTTTATTAATACTTACCATTTTTATGTTACATAAAGGTACATGGTTTTTCATTATATTTTGACCACTACTTATTGTCAATATTCTTGTGAACACGAAAAAAAGTTTCAAGTAAAAGCTTTGTTGTTTTACCTCAACTTTTTCGGCCTCAGTATAACCCATCTGTAACGTGTGTAGGGTGGGTTACTTCACGGCACTTAGGCCTCACTAGGCCCATTGTGCATCCTCCTAAGACGATAGGCACCTCCCAGCTCGTGAGCCAGCCTACAGATTTAATGTAGTTGACAACGTCGTCAAGAGGTGCTTCTTTTATATCGGCCGGTGTTAGTCAATACTCGGCGAACACAAATCTCCTAATAAATGAGAGCGTCGAGCAATTGTAGAGGATATGCTCGATGATCTCATCTTCTTTTGTTCGCACTCTCTGCAGAGTGCGGATTTTGACAACCCCATGATATGGAGATGCTTCTGTACTTGGCAGTGATCAGTCAGAATGCCTGTGACTAGGCGCAGATTCTGTCTAGTCATAGTCAAGTATTTGTTTGCTGCAGTGTTGTCAGGATAACTTAAAAGCTCCCTGGCAACTCTGCAGTTTCTTGTTTCATCCCATCTTTCATTGAATTTCACAAGGGAGAGTTCTTTAATTAGGTCTGTCACTACCGATTTTGTCAGGCCAATAGGAAGGCTAGGTCCAAAAAGTATTTGGTTGGCTGCTTTCTTGGCCAGTGAATCAGCAAGACGGTTACCTTTCGATGTGGCGTGACTTTTGATCCATCTTAAGGTGACCACGTTGTTGATGGATAATTCGGCCAAAACTTGGTAACATTCTAGTACTAACCCTAAATAAATTCGTGGTCTGTTTAGGGTGAGTAGTGCTTTTCTGCTATCTGAGCATATTCCTTCCAGTGATATTGTTTCTAGTGATTTCTTTTGGTGCTATGAGAATCCCTGTGAGCTCTGTTTGAACTACACTGGCACTATTGCTCAGAGCCCATTTTATGTTAAGGTTTAAGGATCTGGAGTATATTCCACATCCTGAGCCTTGTTTTTGAACCATCGGTGTAGATATAAATGGTACCTGACACTTCTGGCTCTTCTTTTTGTTCCATTATAACTTTATATGGCTTATGGAAGATATATCTCGGTGAGATGGAGTCCATGTTCGCTTAAAGCAGTGGGAGCGTATTGAAACGTATCAGTATAATCCATTAAAAGCAATCAATTGACAACTTTTAACAAACAACTATTTTACTTGGAAACATCATTTTTATAGCCATCTATGTGTTACGCTTTCATAGTGCAATAAGTCACTAAATAATTAAATAATTATACATGATGATTCATTACTTATTGGAAATATTTCAACTATAGAATCATGAGCTCAAAAATTGTGATAAAAGTGAAATTCCGGCAGTGGCGTAGAATTTGGGAAGGATTATATAACCAGTCACTTGCCCCTGTTGTACGCCTTTGATGGTAGCCAGAATCGTTTATTTAACATAATTTAGTAGGGTGTATAGTATCTACACTTCCCGCCAAATATGACTAATACGTCAAATAGTTTTAAAGTACTAGACAAATAATTTTTAAACAAAACACCCTGTAACTCAGAATGGAGACACATTTTATCTAGATGATTTGGGTTAAATCTTCATAATTTGACCTCAGGATTCTATAGTTGAAATATTTCTAATTAGTAATGAATCACCCTGTATATTTGTAATCAGGGAATGTAAGTCTATTTAAAATAACAAAAATATATAAGGTGTTCCAATAAAAAAATGAAATTATCTCCTGTGTAAATAGCAAAATGCGTAACTCCACTTTTTTCTGAAATGTGGATTATAACTCCATTTAGTACCAAAATGGCCGATTTACCATCAGAGAAATGTTATTTTACTATGCTTCCAAATTATATTAATTCTCATAAAAAAAAATCCGTTTACATAAGTTTAAGGGTTCTAATTTAAATTAGCTTTTTGGCTCTCGTGTAAAATTTTCCTAAATGGAGTTAAGTACTTTGCTAATTACACTGACGTTATATTTTGTTGGAGGCGCCCTGTGTATACAATTCTGCCAGTTATTACATTTTTAGTCGGTACAGGTAAAACAACAAAGCTTTTAAAACTTTTTTTGTGTTCGCAATAATAATGAAAAACCCTGTACATTAAACCAAAACTGAGAATTTAACAACGTTCTGTATCTGTAACGTGTGTAGGGTGGGTTACCCCTCACGGCACTTAGGCCTGACTAGGCCCATTGTGCATCATCCTAAGATGATAGGTACCTCCTAGCTCGTGAGCCAACCTACAGATTTAATGTAGTTGACAACGTTGCCAAGAGGTGCTTCTCTTGTCAGCCGATACTCGCCGAACACAAATCTTCTAATAAATGAAAGCGTCGAGCTATCGTAAAGGATATGGTCGATGGTCTCATCTTCTTGTTCGCACCCTCTACAGAGTACGGATTCTGACAGCCTCATGATATGGAGATGCTTCCGTACTTGCAATGACCAGTCAGAATGCCTGTGATTAGGCGCAGATTCTGTCTAGTCATAGTCAAGTATTTGTTTGCTGCAGTGTTGTCAGAATAACTTAAGAGCTCTCTGGCAACTCTGCAGTTTCTTGTTTCATTTTATCTTTCCTTGAATTTCACAAGGGAATGTTCTTTAATTAAGTCTGTCACTACCGATTTTGTCAAGCCAATAGAAGAGACAGGTCCAAAAAGTATTTGGTTGGCTGCTTTCTTGGCTAGTGAATCAGCAATACGGTTATCTTTCGATGTTGCGTGACCTTTGATCCATCTTAAGGTGACCACATTGTTGATGGATACTGGCCAAAGCTTCGTGACATTCTAGTACTAACTGAGTAAATTCGTGGTCTGTTCAGGATGAGTAGTGCTTGTCTATTATCTAATAGATGAACATGTTCCTTCCAGTGATATTGTTTCTGGTGATTTCTTTTGCTGCTATGAGAATCCCCGTTAGCTCTGTTTGAACTACACTGGCACTATTGCTCACAGCCCATTTTATATTTAGGTTTAAGCCTTGTTTTGTTTTAGAACCATCGGTGTAGATATGAATCGTACCTGACACTTCCGGCTCTTCTATTTCCCTACCTTAGAGGTAAAAAATCGTATCTCCAATCTTATAGGGTTTGAGAAAATGAGGCCTAAAGCTGGAAATACGACTTCTTACTTCTTTGAAAAATTAAAATACTAGTTTTTATAACTTATATCAAAAACTACTACTTATAGAGATACGATTTTCTATCACTAAGATTTTTTAATGAATTTCCACTTAATACAAAACTGGAGATATGATTATTTACCTCTAAGGTACAGATTTGTTCTGTTATAACTTTATATGGCTTGGTCAAAAGCGACGTATCGTCTCACCAGATCCTACATCAGGTTCTATTCCAACCGTGCGGAGGCGTCAGAGCAACATCCTTGATGTAAATATCAAGAAGAGTGAGACTAAGAATGACTTCCATGGCTTTCATGGGTGTTGTTTTCATGGATCCTGTTATGTTGAGACATGCTATTCTTTGAATTTGTTCTAGTTTACGGATGGCTGGTAATTTTTGGATTTTCGGTACCCAGAAAACCGCACCGTATGTTAGCATAGGTCTTATGATAGCCGTGTAAGTCCATGTGACGACTTTGGGATGCGCTTCACGCTTCGGCGGCATTGTTCATAAGCAATGTATGCTCTTTTGACTCTGTCTTTTAAATGCGAGTTTCATGTTAACTTGCTGTCAAAAGTGAGACCTAGATACTTTACCTCTGTTGCAAAGTTTAGTTTTGTGTTTAGGAGTTCTGGAGGTTATAATTCCATTTTCATCCTTTTTCTTGTGAAAGGGACCATTTCTGTCTTCTTAGGATTGATAGACAGTGAATGGTCCTTGCACCACTGTTCTATACTTTTTAGAGCTACTTGCATTCTTTCACAGAGTATGTTCTCAAAATTTCCTGTTTGCAGAATGACCAGGTCATCTGCATATACTATTGTGTAGTGACTGTCATTTTTGAGGCGGGTGATGGGGGTGTCGAGGACTATGTTTTAGAGTACAGGTGATAGCACCTTTCCCTGTGGACATCCTCTTGCAACCAAGCCTCTTATATTCACTTTTTCTACACTTGAGAGCATGTTATGTATCCACCCACTAGTGGTTAGTGAGTGTACTATCTTGGAAAGGTTGTTTTATCAAAAGCACCTTCTATATCTACGAAAACACCCAAGGCGGACTCCTTATTGTCCAGGGATCTCTCTATCCGGCCAGCAACTAGATGAAGGGCTGAATCAGTAGATCTGCCTGGGGTGTATGCATGTTGGTTTGGGTGTAGTGGTGTTGTTGTAATCACCGCATCTCTTATGTACCTTTCGCATAGCCTCGCTTCCTGCGGAAACTCTTCAATTTCTTCGCTGTAGGATCTCCATGCACCTCTGTTTTTGTCTAACGATTTTTTTGTATTCTCTGAAGTATCCCAGTGCTCTTTGAGTTTTGTTGTTCTTGCCTTATTAAAGGATTTCCTGATAACGTTAAAACATTGCTTTCTTGAAAGTGTTTTCCCTTTATAATCGTCATGCTTTCTTTTCATTGGTTGTTTCCCTTGCCGATATTGAATATTAAGCATTCCAAACAAAATGGCTACCAGTGGGTTTTTACAGGTTATAATATGGCACCATTAGGTAATCCTCTAGGCCTAGAGATTTGACAGGGTCAATGAAATAGATAGTTATATATAAATTGATCATCCATGTTTTTCAAAACAAATGCATTGAATTAAAAATATAGAAAATTATTTTTTTTTACTATATGCAAAGGCTGAAAATTGGTTTGTAAACACATTTTTGGTAAACCGATTCTGATTAATGAGCTCGCGTTGCAATATGGCCACTCGCAAACGACCTGCTTTGAGCAATCCATGTAACTAGCTGCGTTTAAATATCCTTATTGGATGCATTCGATATGTTCTGAATTTTTTATCACGTGATAGAGAATTAGATCTGAATGTAGATGTAATAAACAAACGTTCTAGACTTTATTGGTCACGTGATAAAATGTCAATGACAAGTTAGAAGTTTATACTTTTTAAATTTGACTATTGAGACTACAAAAAATCAACCTTGAAATCTAAACAACAATTAAAGGCATTTCTTTATAAGCTTACTACAACATACTTGGTTACAGTATTGTGGTTACTGTGGTGACATTACGCATACCATGGTTTCCCTATTATTGAATGTCATATGTCAAATTTAATTTAAGTTTGGGATTTCTAAAAGGAATTTGAATTTTAGAAATTTTAAGATGTTTTGACTTTGTTATTTTTTATTATAGTATATTCTAGTAAGCTTATAAATAAATGCCTCGTTAGATATAGCTACATATGCTTTGGTAACATGTAACCAAAGCCGAGTAACCAAACGTTATAAAGAAATGCTCTGGTTACAGAAGTATGTTCTGGTAAGCTTATAAAGAAATGCCTTAAATAAACTAATCACTTTTGTATTCATGCTAGGATAAATTGACAAACTTAGCTTCACAGAACACTTACTTTCTGGCATGGAACGAACATCTCATTTCAAATCGAGATGTAAAAAATGTAATCTGAACATGTACATCTGGGATAAACAAACGCAGATGTAGATGTGTCCGATGTGGATAAAATAACGCTCGAGATGTAAAAAATGCATCGGATGTGGATTTTCAAACGCGGCATATATATGAATCATTGACCCTGTCAATGATAACAGGTCCACAGGGTTGCCATGTCTAAACTGTCAGTTCCCACTTTTCAGCATTTTGACAGGTCTTTGGAATGCCTAATTGGCTCTTTGTTAACTGTTATTTCCGCCGGCAGAGGGCCGGTAGTTAACCAAAGTCTAGAAATGGGATTGAAATTGTATTGTTAGAGGTGAATGTTTCGAATGTGAATTTTATGAATCGATTGGACGTATATAATCAATTTTATATAAACGAATGCTGTTGATTTAAATATTTTAATTTTTGCGTGAGTTTGAATATAATTCGAACAACTGCCTTTAAGGGAAAATTTCTTTTTTTCATAGACGTGGTTGGATTTCTTTTTGTAACTAAACAGTTGAATTATGGAAGCAGCCACCCAGGCGCCACTGGTTTAATAGGTTTTCACCGAAAGGCGTGGCTATGCGAATGCCTCGTTTATTTTTTTGACATTGATATTTTGAACATTCAACCAACTAATTAAATATCGCACCAAACAAAAAATGGAAACAAGTTCAAATATTTATTTATATTTTTAAAGATTAATAGGTTATTAAACATCGTTTGATGTCATTCTTATTTTTTTATTTATTTTTAATAAAGTTTGCATCACTGACACTATTCAGTACTCGTCTGGTTGATCAAAGGTGGGGTACTGGGATCAACCTATCGTATTTATAGATAATTTAGTTAACTCAGTTCAAAAAAGAAACCTCTTAAAATAACGGATTTTTAAAATGGTTTATTCCTGTTTTGAACGAAGATGGGTAGATAATTAATTTTGTGAAAATATTGTTTATTTATCACGACAAGCAGAGTTTGGTAGTATCCAGATACTTAATATGTATCCGCAAGCTGTATCCGGTAAGTATTCATTATCCGGACATACTTTTTTTAAAGTTCAGATCCTTTTAAATTATTATTCGGACGAAATGCTAAGAAATAGAATTGAGATTGGTTCAAGGTAAACTTTATGATTTTGATATATTTCCACTTCTTTTTCTATCTG